AAAAAAAAAAGAAAGCCATCTTTTTGGAGGAAAACATTTTATTCAAGAAAAAAAGTCTAAAATGGTGATTTAAAATGGCTTTATTCTGATCACAACTTGTTCTCAAAGGAAACGTAACTCACGGTGTACGCTTTGCTTTTGCTGACGAGGATTTTGGAGATGCCAAAATCGCCGATCTTGACGATCATCTGGTGCTTGTCCAGCAGAATGTTCTGCGTCTTGAGGTCCCTGTGTAGGATGAGCTTGTTGTGCACGTGGTAGAGGGCCAGCAGGATCTGCACAAAGAAGTGAAGGATGGTGTCCTCGTCCAGCAGCGAGTTGCAGCGCTTCTGGATGTAGTCGGCCAGGGTGCCACCTGCATGTCAACATTCATATGGGGAGGAATGCTGAGCAAATATCAAGCCCGTCAGCCAACCGGCTTCGGGATCTGATTTGAAGGACATTTCGCGAAGCGCTTATCGTGTCATCGGACCCCAAACTGTGTCTTTTCAGCCGCGGCTTCATGTGACTTTTTTTGCGGATCCGCGCACGGCGCACTTGTTCCCAAAGTTTCATGTGGGCTGGACGTGGCTTACCGGGTGCATACTCCATGGCAATCATGAGCGCCTTGTCTTCCAGGAAGTTCTCGTAGTACTCAATGATGTTGGGGTGGTTGAGCAGCTTCAGCACCTGACACTCGTTCTGAGCGGCCAGGCGCTCGTCGCGGGACATCTGCTCCACCGGGATCTCCTTCAGGATGACCAAAGCGCCGTCGCTGCGCCGCCGACACAGGTGGACGATCCTGAAGGACGGTTGGGGTCCATTAACAAGACTTTGGAGCGGAGAGACCAAATGTGTCCAAAATACAGCCTGGGGGCCGTTTGGGGGCTCTGGATGTCTTTCGTGAGCCGCCGCCACATATTTGAAACAAAACGGCAATCGTGGCTCGCATTAACAGGTTGCAAATGTTGACAACGGGAAAGGAAAAAACGTTTAAATGAGGGATCAAACCTGTGGACCTGCACATTCTGAGGCCCACGTGCTAACCGGTCGGTCATCGTGCTGCCTTGTGCTAGTTCTACTCCAGAAAAAAA